AATGTGAACCATTTATCACGATCTTTCCGGTTCCCCCGGTAAAATCCGTTCAAAACGGCTTGGATGGTAGTTGGCACTTTAGCCATTCACATTGAGTAATCCTATATATTATGAAATAAATATTATAAAAAAAAATTATAAAACTAATATGGTATAATATATAATAAAATATCACAAATTAAATTAAAAAAAATTATAAATTTTTTATTTTTATGATGATTAGTATTTTTGTTTGGCATTTAAGGGACCCACAGCGGTTAGTGGCTAAAACGACCAGTGAGACATGTGTTGCCACGTAAAGCCCCATTTGTTTGGAGTTATAGGGAGGGGATTAGGTTTGGTAGTGAGGAGGGAATTGAGAATGGGGTGTTTGTTTTGAGAGATAGTGAGGGGATTAGTAATCCCTTGGTATTAGTAAGGAGGAGGAAGAGTGATTGGTAAGGAGGAGGTAGAGATGGTATTAGAAAAATAGTGAGGGGATTAGAAATTTTTTTATTTTTTTTATTTTTTATATATTGGGAATTTTTTTTAAAATATAATGTTTAATTTTTTATATTTTTTTATTTGTTTTATTATTTTGTATAAAAATAATTTAACAATTCCTCACTATTAATCTCCTCACTAACAATCCCCTCACTATTAATCCTCTCACTATGAATCCCCTCTATTCTATCTCTGAAAACAAATAGGGCCTAAGAGTGGTTAGTCGTGAACGACAATTGTGCTGTGTATGAAAAATAATTTAGACCTCTAAAAAAAGACTTCTAATGGAGCTTTAATTTGTCTTTTTCTTCTCTCTTTTATGTCTTTTACTTCACTATTTATTTGTTTGTTTATTTATTTTATTTTATTTTATTTATTATTATTATTATTGTTGCTGGACAGCTTATTATAGCTGTACTGCAGAAGCTCTAATTAGAGCTCTGCAGCAGCTCCCTGCTTTGTATTTATGTGATCAAAATGCCCTCCTGGAGGTTGAAAGCAGAACCTAGATAGTAGTTTAGGAATCCCAAGATTTTAGATTCAATTTAATGGAGGGGTTAATGTAATAATTTAACACTATTCACATTGTTTGGTTTCGTTTTTTTAAAGAGCATTGATAGAGATTCCCTCTAATCATTATTCTCACCATCTCAAACACACGTGACGAGTGGTGAATGGAGGAGAAGGAAAAGAAAGAAAAAAAGAAAAAAAAAACTGGCCAATGAAAGAGAAAGGTGGTCAAAGAGGGTGGGAGAGAAAGGGGGTCTCAAACATTTTTGTTTCTTAAAATAGTTTTCAAAAAATTATACTTTCTTATTTTTCATATTTTTTTGTTTTTACTAAATTTTTTTAATATTTTAAGTATTTTTTTTTTTAATTTTTAGACACACTTAACATAAATACACATAAAAAGTATAATTTTTGTGAAAAAATCTTTTAAAAATTCAATAAATACAAAAAATACAAAAAAAACGAAAATTTGGTATATTTATCATATTTTTATGTATTTGTTAATTTTTTAAAATATTTTTTTTATAAATTTCTTACTTTTTAGATATATCTAAGTAAGGTTCATCTAAAAAAATAAAAAAAATACTTAAAATTTTAAAAATATTTACTAAAAATAAAAAAACACGAAAAACAAAAAACTCAATTTTCAAAAAATTTAATCAAAAAACTCAAATCAAACACACTGATTAATCTACTAATATTTAATTGTGTTTAATAAAAGGATGGCTGCAGAAAAAATAACAAGCATTCAAAAATGGAAAATGCTATGGGCTTGTTTGGTAACGTTTATGTTTTCAGTTTATATTTACAAAAAATTTATAAACTGATTTTTGTTTATTTTTAGAAAAACATAAACTACAAACGCATTTGGTAATTAACAAAATGTTTGAAAAATTTTAAAAATATAAAAAAGGGTGTGAAATGGCAAGTGGTGGCGAGTGGCGGTGGAAGACGGTGGTGGAAAGTGATGACGGTGGGTGGTGGGTAGCTGGTGATGGTGGGTGGTGGGTAGCTGGTGATGGTGGGTAGTGGTGGGTGGTGGTGATGGATGGGTGGGTGACGGTAACGGGTGGTGGGTAGTAGCGAGTGGGTGGTGGTGGTAGTGGCGGGTGGTGGATGGTAGTGGCGAGTGGGTGGTAGGTGATGGTGGTAGTGGTGGATGGTGGCCGGTGGTGGATTCGGTTTGATTCCAAATCAAAACTATGATTTTGAATTCGCAAATGGTCTCCTGTGGTTCACCTAATTTGTGAATTAGGACTAGACCAATTATTATAAAAAATCATACTAAATTATATAATTTGATTTGGGTGGTGAGTAGTAGTAGCGGGTAGGTGGCGAGCGGTGGATGGTAGTGGCGAGTGGTGAGTAGTGGCGGGTGGATGGCAGGTGGGTGGGTGGTGGCGGTGGCGGTGGTGGTGGCAGAAGACGGTTGTAGAAAATGGTGTCGGGTGGTGGCTAGTGTTGGGTGGTAAAAAAAAAAAAAATTCAAAACTCAAAATGAAAACATATTTTTTGAGTTTACATTTTTTGACCAAATTTATAAACTGAGACCACTAATTTATAAATTAAAATTTTACCAAACAAGTTTTTATTCGAGTTTTTTAAATTTTTGTAAATATAAACAGAAAGCTGAAAACATAAGTGTTACCAAACGGCGCCTATAAGTTCTAAATTTTTTATCAAATAAATGACCAAATGTGTGTGGGGTCTCCAATAACACCCATGTGAGACATTTGATCATTTATATGGTAAAAAATTTAGTACCCCTAACATTACTCTTCAAAAATATCAAGTGATTAAATGTCGATTTAATAATAATAAGATATATAAATAATTGTTATGTCTTTATGAAACGCTGCATTGTTAATTGTGCATGCACCCAATAATGAGAATTATATATTTATATGATTTAAAAAATAAAAATAATAATGAGTAAATTGCGAAATACCATTAGTCAAGCATAAAGCAATGTGATATTTCAAATTCATTCGATAATTTCTATTAGGGAAATTTTAATATATACTCTTTTAAAAAATATGTATCATATTCATTTTTAGTTATATATATTTTTTTAATTATGACCAATTTTCGTATTTAGTTATGATATTATTTTAATTATAACTCATGAATTCTTTAGTTATGCATTATTTTTTTTACTAGAGAAATTTTAATATACATTCTTTTAAAAAGGGTGTAATATATGCATCCTAATTATGTCATTTTTTCTTTAATTATAACTAATTTTTTTATTTAATTATGACTCGCATTACGCTTAGTAATGACATTTTGTTTAATTGTAACTCAACAAATTTAATCATATTACCTTTTTTTAAAATTTTACCTTTAAAAAATTATGCACCACAATACTTCTTTTTTTACTACGGTGCCAACTCTCAACGTCAACAACCCCCACTTCCCAAAAAAACAAAAAACAAAAAAAACATATAACAACTCCCACCAACCCCAAAACCTTAGGAGTCCGGATCGTCGGTCGCCTTCTCCTGCCGCCCTTCCTGTGGCGCCCCAAAACGATGTCGTTTTGGGGCCAAATTTCAATTAAAAAAAAAAGACAGAATAGAAGTGGGAGAAGAAGAAAGAATGGAGAAGAAGGAAGGCAGAGAAAGAGAGGAGGAAGAAGAAGAAGAGGAGAGGAGGAGGATCGGAACTTTTTTTTCCCTTTAACAATGGAGTTCGCAGATTTACCCAAACCCGGTACCAATTTTCGACCCAGGTCCTTCGAAATCGATCTCAACGAGACCCTTCCAACTCTATCGATCTCAATGGAGTTCGCAGATTTTGGTGTGTGGTGGTTGCGGGCTACAGGTTTGTCACATTTTCTCTCTCTCTCTCTCTCTCTCTCGCTCTCCTTTTGAATTCGAAAACCCTGTTTTATGTTTCCGTTCACTGTGTTTGAATATAGAGCAAACCATGTCAAATGAAAGGGAAACTTTGTAGTAAATGTTTCTTATTTTGGTCTCTCAAAATTAAGACGCTCAAGATGTGGAGCCAACCAAGTCAAATGTTTCTCTGTGATTGGGAGTTTGATTTTTGTTTGAGAATTCCAAAAGCGTCGATGAGGATCGCTCCGGTTTGGGGCTCTACAGAGATACAGGATTTACAATTTTCCATGATTGATTGTATGTTTATGATAATAATAACCTTATGCCTATATATGTGTATGTGTATAATGAATTTCACTTTTGAACTATGAAGTGTTGGTTGATTTAGCTTGTAGTAGGAGTAGATGATGATGATAGAAGACACTGTCTCTTCTTTTTTTCTTTTGGGTTTGTTTGTTTGTTTGTTTTTTTTTTTTTTAATTGATCGATCGTCCTCCTCTCCTCTTCCTCTTCTTCTTCTCCTCCTTCTTCTTCTTCTTGCTCCTCCTCTCTTTCTCTGTCTTCATTCTTCTCCATTCTTTTTTCTTCTCCCTCTTCTGTTATGTCTCTTTTCTTTTCTTTTCTTTTTTAATTGAAATTTGGCCCCAAAACGACGTCCTTTTGGGGCGCCGCAAGATGGACGGCAAGAGAAAGCGACGGACGATCCGGACTCAAAACCTTATTATCCTTTCTACTAAGGTACCAACTCCTCCCTGACGATAAATTGCACTTACACCCTGAGATTTGATATTATTATTTCACGTTTTAAAAATTATACTAACCCCTTATCATTTAATTATTTAAAAGAAATAAAAATATGAAACTCATGTACTCTCTTTTTTCTTACTTGTTTTATTTCTTTTATTTTTTTTCTTTTTCTTTACTTTATTATTATTTTTTTCAATGTAATTTTTTCTGATTTTCTATTAAAAATTGTTACATTTTATATAATAGGGGTTTGTAAAATGAGACTATTAACCATAAAAGTGGATGTGTAATTTTTAAAACGTTAGGGGTAAAATGTAATTGGATCAAACTTAGGAGGCATCATTGTAATTTACCAAAAAATTAAAAAAAAATGAAAAAAACTCTTAACCAACTCCGAAACAACACTTTCTCGCTAACGAACCCCGAAACAACACTTACTTTCCACTCATTCTCACCCAGCGAAACTCCATTTTCAATTAATACCTTCAATAACTCTCTCCCTCTCTCCCCCACGTCCTCTGTCTCTCTCTCTAAAAGTTTCTCTCTCATGGCGGTCGTTTCATTAACCAAATCTCTGCAACATTCCTCTTCCATCCCAACAAATTATTCACATTTCTCCAAAACCCATTTCAATTCGATTAGTTTTAAGAAAACCCATTTGGGAAATCAACCAAAAATCAGTACCAAATGGGGTAACATATCATCATTAGGTAGAGAGAGAATCAGAAGAACAACAGAGTATGTGAATAGAAAACAGAGCGGAGGATTGGTGGTGACGTGTACGGCAGAGGGATTGGAGAGGGGGTTGCTGGTGGGAGGGAGAGGGCAAGAAGCTAAATTCGCCGTACCGGAGAGGTTCAAGGTGGTGGCGTTAATGGCGTGCGTGATGTGTCTTTGTAATGCGGATAGAGTTGTCATGTCCGTGGCTATAGTCCCTCTCGCTGCCAAACATGGCTGGAACAGCTCTTTCTTGGGCATCGTTCAGGTAACGCCAAACTCGACACTCTTTTTCTCTCATATTTTTCCTGGAAAGTTAAAAAAGAATCGTGTGTTGTTGAAACTGTGTGCGGTGGTGATAGTGTCAAGTCAAGTTGGATCTTGTTAAGTGGGAAAACAGAGAAGAAAGATGTAGCAACCTAAGTACTATGATGTGTGTGGTGGTGGTTGAGAAATGAGAGATGTTCGTTCGCGTTCGGCGCACATTGTAGTGTGACAGTAGAAAGAGGAGAAACCCTAAGTCGTGGGGCTCACGGCAAAATTATTCAGTAATTTTAAAATATTACCTGATATTATTTAATTAATGTTATAAATTAATCATGTAATATAGAATTTTTATAGTAAAACGTACGGATTTATATTCATTAGATAGTAAAGAATAACTCATACAATACATAATAATAATTGTTTATTGATCTAAGGTATCATGGAAATAGTATCACATAATATTGGCTTTGTATGAAAAGTTGATTATTTTAGTTAGTTATTTAGCTTTTTAGCTATTTTAACTGGACTAAAATAATTGTGTTTGAAAAAACAATTTCTTTTTTTCTTTTTTTTTTTTGTAGTTAATTTGATAGTTATAAGAGAAAAAGTGATATAATTATGAGTTTGATATCTTATTGACTATTTTATCTTTTAATGAGTTATTTTAATCTAACCCTCTTCTTAAACAGAGCTATTATCTAATAGTTTTTGAATGTCAAATGTGAGGGAGACATCAATGGGTCGAGTTGAGCTTAAGCTAAAAACAAAGAAATTTTTGTGCTCAAGCTTGGTGTTGCCTCGCGTCCGATTAGATCTTAAAATTATATTCTATTCTCAAATTCGTCTAATACATTTGTATTCATATGCCCCGCTTATAAGTTGGCAACATTTTGTTTAATTTTCCCCTTTAAATATATTTTCTTTTATTAAAATAAAATAAGGCTAAATAAATTACATATGTTTATTATATTAATAATGAAATATTTTCAAACCTGATCTCTTTTGTTTATCCTAAGTTTTATAAAATGCAAAGTGAGTTGGATTAGTTAAGTTAAATCGGCTAACAGGGAGGTGCCTACCTTAGTTAAAGACTTGTCTTGGGATAAATAGTAAAATAGTAATATTACATACTTAATAAAGTGCTAAAAAATGGAATATGAAGATAATTTTTTTTAAAAGTACGGTCCATATTACATAGAGTTTGAATTTACATGACACATCATTTTTACAGTATTTTTCGAGATATATTTTTCTTGAAATACATAATTTTTTGTTTTAGTTTGGACTCATTCTAATATTATGTTCATTTTTGATTGATACACGTTATTTGTACTTGAGTATATATACATAACGTCAATTATCTTGGGAGATTTCTTGCTAAAAAAAAATAAAAAAACGAATATCACACTTGAGTATAAATTATGAGGTGGGTTAGGAAGGGTGATAACCATTTCCGATGTACCAAAAAATACTAACAACACAATAGGTTATAACAAAAAAATACAAAGGCCATAATAAGTGGGGCATATGATACATAGAATTTTCAAGGTTAGGAATATCAAATTCAGTTACAAGTAGGGGTAGATATTCGTCGAGCCGGGTTTGGGCTGGGCACACTATATAATAAGAGATTTTGTATTTGTCTAAGTCCGGTCCCACCCTAACATCGGGCCTCTACATCTACTCAAGTCCGCCTAAAAAATAATAATCCCAAGTCCAATCATCGGGTTACATGTTAAAAAAAAATTAAAACATTTCATAATTAAATTCAATCACACATTATATTTCTTAAATTAATGAACTGACATGATTATAAAGTAAAAGATTTTGTGTATAAATTGAAGGATTTCCTAAATAAATCCAACCACACACAACTACAAATGTAAATTTTAATAAAATCAATAAAGATAAAATCTAAATTCCAAAAATATATATATTTCTAATATATTATAATTTATTTATTTATTTAATAGCGGGCCGAACTGATTTGAAAGTATAAATTTCAAGTCCAATCCATTAATATATCAACAATAATAATAGAGACTCTTATAAAACACAACCTCCATAACCCTTAAAATGATCTGAACCATTCATTTTACTGTAGAGAGAAAAAAAAATTCAAACACATCAATAATCAATACATTAATGGAGATCGTGAGGATCCTCCTTTATGGGAATCCCAAATATTTTCATATATCAAATTAAAAATATTGACTCAGCCTAATCCTATAGGCTAAAACAATATTTCTAACCTCTTAAAAAATATATATGTGATTCTGGTGGGCTAGCCGGGATGACTACCGCCTAGTTACAAGTGTTAAAATGTTGATTTGTTCTTAAGGTCATTTGGACAAGTTAGTTATGAGTTAGTTTTTTAATTTTTAATTTTTTGGGTCATATTATTTTTTTATATTTTTTTTAAAAAAAAGTCTAAAAAACTAACATTTAATCTATTGGGCTTAATTTTTTTTTCTGAAAAAAAGGTTTTTTTTTGGGAGAACTTTTTTATAAATCCTTTTTTATCTATTTATGTTTCATTTAGTTCATATTATTTTTTAATATTCTAATAAGTCCTATAGATGACATAGTTATCAAAATACCCCTAATAATGTTCACATTTACAGTGTGAATGTTCCGTGATATGAATGTTCTTATCGTCAATGTGAATGTTCATACCATCAATGTGAATGTTAACATGTCAATGTGAATATCCATATCGTCAATATGAATGTTTATACTATCAATGTAAACATTTACATGTCAATATGAATATTAACATTGTAAAATATGAATGTTCACATTACCAAATTACTAACCGTTTAAAAAATATTTATAAGGATAGAAATGTCTACAAAATATTTTAAATATGAAAATTAAGATTCGGTAGATCAAATATTCAAATAATAAGACTTATTAAAATATAAGAATATTTTATAAACTAATTAAGATACAAACACTTCAAATAAAAATTTTCTAATAAATCTCTCCCTTTTTTTTATTTTTATGGAAAATAGGGGCATGTTCTTTATTATTAAGAGCAGCAGATAAATTAATTGGGCTGGGCCCACAGTGTCTGGTGCATTAGAACGATTAAATGCCGAACGGTTTAATTTTGGTGGACACCACCTACGCTTACCGCTGCGCTGACTCACGTCCAGAGTTGAAAGGGAGGCTCGTACCAAACTTTCATATCTTCACAACCAAACACATAATTTTCCTTGAGTATCCAACCAAACACAAACAGCAATGCTAGGTATCATGAAAAACCTTTCATGAAAATAATCATGAAAGTTTCGTGATCCTTGGATTACATTTAGAATGAAACACCACACACTAATTAAGATAATCCAAGGATCATAAATTTTTCATGATCATTTTCATGACTAACTTTTCATGATCTCTAACTTTTCTCAAACACAAAACACCAATCACCAGATAAGTCCTCAAAATAGAGGCAACTCCCAAAAGTGCAGCACTCAACCGTCTTGGTTTTTGATTAATTTTAATCTAAATAAAATTTATTATTATAAAAGTCCATAAGCCATGTAGTCAAGACTTGGCTCTCGTTTGGAAATTAACTTTTTTTTTTTTTTTTTGGAAGTAGTGTCACACTTTGATTTTTAAAAAGAGTTCCAATTTTATTTATTTATTTTTGATACCCAAAGCAAGTCCAAAAAAAATAATGAATTTATTTGTGTGATAAGTTTTGTTTAAAACAACTTAATGATTAATATGTAATTACATTCATAAAGTTACATAATCACCCGAAAGTCTCTTCCTTTTCCCTCTTTTCACTTGTAGTCCCACCCTCTATAGAACTCCTCTAATGGTTGTTTTATTATGACATTATTACCAACTATTTGAGTTAATGAAATTAAATACATGAAAAATGGACTAACTCAGTTAGGCCCAATTTTTGTTTGAATGGATCAGAACAAATCCCGATTCTGCCCAATTTTCAAAATCCCCAGCCAAGTTTAGTCCTAGCGAGTTGTGTATATAGGCTGTTTGGGCCCAACCTGGCCAGGCTTTGCCTGCCCACGAACCTTAAGCCGAATGTACATGTTTACATATTGTGTTTTAATTCATATGGACTAAATTTGATTTAAATAGACTCTTCGTTTTAAAATGATACAAGTTCAAATACAATCATGATGGTTCTGCCAACCATCGATGGAGCGGGTCAAGATTGTCCACACTTCTCAAGTCGTTGCCCGGTTGTAAGACCTACCGTGAAACCTGCAAAATAGTCCAATGGGGATCGGGTAGTCTCCCAGCGAACCCTTCGACGATCAAGTTAGAGAAGGGAGATGATGGTTGAATGTAGGGATAGATTGGTGATAGAGAAGCTTAACATTTTCTTTGTCTTAGGAGCCTGTTTATATCCATTGCTTATCATTTCCTTGTCCACTCTGAGCCGTTATGTTGGTCGAAAGTCTATGTCCTACCTTGCCTTGTTCATGGTGAGGTGAGGTTGTTCTGTTTCGACGTAAAGGGTTATCGCAATAAATGCCGCAGGAAAACTCATTAATGGCTGATGTGTGGTACAATAACTTTGCAGGATCTTTGTCTGCTGATGTGGCTGGTTCTTCGTTTGCCATATGTTTAGATGTCATTGGTCCTTAATGTCACGTTGAGCTTCAGCAGGGTTGGGCTTTAGTGTTTGAATTATGTATTGGGTTCTGAGTAATGGGCCAAAAGCTCCTATAGGCCCACCTATGTCAGTAGTCCCCCATTCCTAAGTGCAGCTTTAGTCCAACAAAGAGAATAAGGAAGAAAACAGGGGTTGTGAGAGGTCGTCGGAGAGAAGATTGTCGGGGAAACGGGCCGACCACGAAGGGGGACCGAGCGAGAGGATTGACTGCGAGGAGGACTGACCATGAGGGGTGACCGAGTGAGAAGGTCGACTGAGAGGAGGGCCGATCGCGAGGGGTGGCCGAGTGAGAAGGTCGATTGAAAGGAGGGCTGACCGCAAGGGGTGACCCACTGAGAAGGTCGACT